TTAAATATTCAGCAAGATGTTATATACATTTTAGTTGGAGACACAACACTTGACGCGAATAGTCGATTCTACTCCGGGTGAATTAAAAGAAGCATTTTTCGTGTGTACAATATTGAGAATATATTAATAAATTATTATTTGATTCTTAAAAAAGTTAAAGAAGTTCCGGTCATGTCGAGAGTCAAATTTTGTAAGTTAAAGCGTTTGTGATCAACCTTGCACCATCATGGTTGTAATAAGAAAATAAAACAAATTTTGTTGATGTGAATGAAATGTTAATTCAGTGTGCATAGACCTTTTTTCTATTCACTTTTTCTTGACGATATGTGAACTTTATAAATATATTGTTTGCCTTCCTGATTACGCATTGTGTTTGAAGTTCTGAACAGTGGCTTGGGTCTAGAAAGTAATTGATGATGTGTTTAAAATTTTGTAAAACGTGATAATTTAATGGTCAGTGTTTCTTATTCACGTGCAGCATTTACGGTCTATAAATTCAAGTTTATTTTTGAAACTGATAAGTTTTACATTGACTGTATTTTTAGCAATGATCAATTGCCAATGATTAATTCAAGGCTTTGATTTTATGAAAACTTTTTCTTAAATGTGAACTTTTGAACTTAAATTTGTTCTTTCGATTGAAAAATGGGTCAAATTTGGGGTTTGTCAATAGTTTTGAACATCTTAGTGGATCTTAGGTTTGCTTATTACTCCTTTTAGCTGAATCAAGGATCTCTAAAAATAATATTAGCTTTTTTGCCAAACCGTCATTAGTAATTTATTCAGGTTCAGATTACACTTATAAGTTCATTAATTTCCCATCGTTGACCTTGAAAATAATTCAAAACACAAAAATAATTAGAAGACACTGACCATCGTTAATTCAAATCTTGTTACAATAAGCCTTTTATTGACATACGGTCACGCCTTCCAATGCAGTTCGTTTGTTTGCAAAATAAACTTTTTGGCTCTTACTTAAGTGAAAAACCTTGAGCTTATCGGTCTCCTTTTTTTAAAGACAAAAGGCCAATAAATTTGTGCATGTTCATTTCCGATATTTCTCAACATGTTCAAGTGGTTTTTCATACACGAACATTCATTAATCAGCTTAATTCCTGAATATCTTTGCATTTAAAATCAAATTAAATTAAAGGGTTGATCACATATGACGCTAATGTTAAAAAAAGCAATTAACGGGATGCATGGACTTGTTTTTACTTCATTGGATTTTTAACAAAGTCCTAAAAATCTATTTATGTTTGACATCACTAATGAGTGACCCTCAAATGCTTTCACAGCTGTCATATAAATTAATAATGAATATTTATGAGCTGTACATTGTTGAGAATTGAAATATTGAAAGATTCGTACAAACGGATGCAGACTTACATTTATTCTCAAAATTATCAAATACTTGCCAGCCATTCTGACGCCAAAGCACCATTCTTGTTCGGTCTGAATTACTTTTGAATGAGAACTCTTTTTGTGAATTAAATTGTTGTGACTTAAAAATTGTTCAGAATTTTCGACCATAAAAATTCAACTTTGGTTGAAGTGATGAATTGAAGGATCGTGCTTAAAATACTTGATTTGCCCAAGATGGTGTGACACTGACCTCTCTAAAATTTGGCGGAGAATTATTAAGTTGCTCGTGATTCATTTTTATGGGAAAATTTGATAAACTTTTTTGGGAGACAATAATCTTCAGGATCTTAATGTTATGGAGTAGGTGATCGGGTTAATTCGTTAAGTTGACAGAATGAAGTGTTCAATATGCTAGGTTATGTCCTTTAATGAGACATTTTTCGAGGATTTTGGTTACAATTGCATGACTGTGATTCATGATTAGGTTTTTGACTAGACATTCATACAAGTTGAGAGTTACTCATTTATAAAGCCCAACCCATCCACTAGAAAAGCATCTAACAGATTAGAATTTTTACATTAATAAATATTGACAAGTTTTATTTTAAATCTCCATAAAATTTCCTAGTAACTATGTCAGCAACTCAAAATCCAACACATTTCTCAACTGTCAGATCTGAATTTTAACACGCATTAATTACTCGTAGTTATAAGGATATGATTTGTATATGCAATTAAAAAATTTGTAATTCAAAACAATGTTAAAAAATCTCAAAACATTAATGTGTGCCTGAAATGGATGAGAGGGGGAACAATGCTAAACTTATAAAATAAAGTTCAAATGTGAGGTTCTGTATATCAATCAATCGGTAGAAATAACACAAAACTTATCAGATGTAAGGAATCAATATAACAAGTTTGATGATTAGTTGTGTCATTAGCGCGTGTAAGACATAAGCGAATTTCAACAACACATAACGGCTGGATAATTTACGATCGACAAATGTGTCGTGGAAAAAATTATTGCCTTAGTCATTAAGAATGAAAGTAAGCAGTTGCTAATGCGCAATCTCATTTAAATCAGCAGCAGTAAAATATATTAAGGACTGAGAACGAGGAAAAAGCGGAAGTATTATGGCTTAATGAATAGATACTTTACTAGACAAAGTGGCTGCTCGAGAATATTTATGGAAATTAACAGCCTGTAATAAACACAACAATAGTTGAGCATTTATAGGCAATTAAAAATCTTCATAATGACAAATTGACATGTTATGCATAAAATGTGAGCAGCGGCAATTGTTTATTTTGCTCCATTCCATTCTGAGTTAATTTCGTGACTGGAAAATCTGATTGTAAAAATAATTCAACAATCGAACTTTCGCTTTCTAAGTTATTCACAAATAATCGATCGATTACGAAAGATTTAATTATCAATGAAGCTAGAGATCATCTGAACACTAATGACTGTCGAAATACGAGTTTTTCTGAAAGATTAAGTAACTTAGACAAGCAGTAAACAAGATCAAAGAATCCTAATTATGTCGATACAGCAGATTTTTATTTAAGTATTTTAACAAAGGAAGTAATAATAAGAACTCTACGTGTGGGGCTATAAATTAACAAGTACCAAAAACTCCAGTTAATTATACTCATCGTTCACACCTATAAAAACAGATATTCTCGTTAGAATCAAACGTCAACTATCAATTTTTTTATTGCTGATTTTTTTTTTGCTGTTGTGGGGTCAAGGCTTCTAACAGCAATAATAAACAAAAATTAAATAAGAGCTGCGGGCTAATAGATCTAACCAAATTGTGAGAGGTAAAAAAAGAGGCGCTTTTTGAACAAAATGTTTGTCAAGGTTTCATATATTCTAAGGTGAAGTTGTTGGTGCTCTGTAAATATCAAATTAGTGCTTCTATCCAAAAACTATAAAGCTATTATCGTAGAAACAAAAGGATTAAAATTACAAATCTATCTATTGTAATCATGATTGTCTGGTATTTTATGGGGAAATCCATTTCTCGCGATGGATGAATTTAATCAAAACCAGTTCGGTACAGAACCTCGCTAATTTCAGTTCTGAAAAATCATTTACACAGCTCTACATCTTAATTCGCGTTTTATTTTTCAATAAAAACAAATTAATCTTGATGCTTAATTTTTAAAGCTTCACACTTCCATTCATCCGATTCATCAAACTCAATTCGATATTTTAACGATTTTAACAAAAGAAAATTTATTTTTTTCAGATTTGACTACGTTAATAGTCTGTTATTTAACTGATGAGCTATCTGCAGTTTTACAAAGTAGTGCGAATGAAATTAATAGCTATATAAATCGCTACAACTATGATTATTGTGAGGCTGGATTGTGTGCGAGCAACAAAAGACACGTGGCTTGTGGGAACAAAGGACGATTTGGAAAATCATGTACGTCTGATGCCCGTGTCATAGAGTTTGATGATTATCATAAGAGATTAATTCTTCATATGCATAATGCATACAGAAACTCAATTGCATTAGGGCAAGTGACAGGATTTAAACAAGCAGCACGTTTAGGGGTACTTCAATGGGACCCTGAGCTAGCTTATTTGGCTGAGTTAAACGCCATGAGTTGTGAGATTGAGGTTAATACAATGATTTATTATTTTATAAGCTTGATCTTTAAAAACTTGCCATTTTCAGCACGATAAATGTCGTAACACGAGATCATATCAGTTTGCTGGACAAAATTTGGCTATGGGATGGCTTTTAGAAGATCATACATTAGATTGGGCTATTAGAAATTTTACGACAGAGTGGTTTATTGAGTATCGAGATACACCGCAAGATGTTATCGATAAGTTCTATCGTCCAGCAGGTCCCGCAATTGGACACTTTACATTGCTGGTAAATGATAAGCAGAGTAAAGGTAATCATTTAACAAATTTCATGCTTCAAAATATAATTAAGAAAAATTATTCATCTTGTTAAATTTTTAGTTGGGTGTGGCCTTGTAAAATTCACAAAACGAATAAGCAACTATAATTATAAAGTTCATGTATTAGCGTGTAATTATTCTTGGACGAATATCTTTACATTCCCAGTGTATCGTAAAGGAGTGACAGCTTCGGGATGCCTCACAGGAAAACACTACTACTATCCAGGACTTTGTAGTGATGCAGAGCAAATTAAAGGTGGATTTTATTAAAATAATCCAAAAAGCATTAGCTCTCTTTATACTAAAGATAAAGCAAAATTCTCAGCATTAATGTTAGTTCTTTGAGTATTATAATCAATACTCATCTCATGTTCATTACTGCTATTTTTCATTTTATACATATTGCTATTATTAATGTTTATATTATTTTAAGCTTCAGTATTTAAACTTGTATGATGCTTATTCTTGTGAATAAAATGTATAAGTTATATTAACGGTTATTTTAAATTTAAAATTTGAGTACACTATTTCATGGAATATTCCAGAGAAAAATAAAATTGTTTTAATCTTTAATTTCAGCTAATAATGCTCGTTTTGGATTTATTTTGAGCTCTTTTCAATTTTTTAATAATCGTTGTCGTCTGAAAATTACAAACACTTGTTGATCTTATTGCGAATATTTCTTGAATGAATCTTATTTTTTTACAAGGGTGGAATTAACTTTAGATTCATCATTCAAACAACATTCAACCAAATTCAATAATTTCTTTAAATTCTAATTGGTTATTTAAACTTAACATCACAATTGGTGTTTTGTAGAACTATAAATCAATAAATACTCTTCATCATGCCATACGTGGCTAGTGGTATGCATTTAATACCCTTAATTTCACAATTACAAGTTTTTCACGGATTTATTTTTTAATTTCATTCAAAATTCTTTAATTAAGATGGAAGAATTTTGGATAAACCACCAATAACGAAGAGGATTGAGCTTTTCTTCGTTGGGATTTGGACGTTTCTCGTTTTCTTGTAAGTTTTTGAGTATAAAAACAGTTCAAGGCAAAAACACTGACGTCATTGTTATCTTTTAATTATAGTTTCAAAACACTTTTTGGTGAAAATGTGAATAAATCTGGATCGAAATATACAAGAGAATATCGAGGTGGAGGGGGAAGTGGTTATGGGGGAGGGGGAGGTGGGCCTGCTAATTCAGGACCAAGACCGTAAGTTATGATAACAAAAAATTACAGAAGTCCTCGTGTTATTGATCTAGGGACTTAAGCGCATTTTTGTGTAACGATCAGTATTTGATTATCTAATTATTTTGCGTTCAATTACAGATCATGAGAAGATTAAAAGATCATTAATTATAGTTTGATAAACAATTTGTTACAATGAATGTCTATATAGAAAGTCTTTATCATTTAACGGTTTTTTGAATAATTTGAAATTTTCCGCTAAAAGTTGTACCACAAGAACATTAATTATAGTATAAATACATGGTTTAAAGACTTTTAACCATTCGATGGGCCAATAAATCGATAGTAACGGAGCTAATAAAACAAACGCGAGCTCTCTACGATGTCTGGTTAAAAAGTTTTTCTCAGCCGAACAGCCGAACAAAGTGTATTATTAAGCTACCTTTTAGAAACAAGTTTCAAAAATGTGCTAAGAAACACAAGGAAATTTTTAATCCAATTATTTTTCATTCCAGACCACAAAGACGACTTGGACGAATAGGTAGAATGAGTGACGTTTCATGCCCTCCAATGGGAGGTGGATGAGGTTAAGCATCGTACAGTGTAAATGAAAAGGAAATGCAATTTTTAAGTATTTTCTTACGCTGTACAACTCTTACAAATTGTTTGCTAATAATGGAGATGAGTTCTAAACACATTTTCCAATGTATGACGATATTACCATAAACCGTATTGCGGCCGGTAATCTCTGATGATTTTAGCATCAGTTTGTATCATTTAACTCATTCAGCTCGGATGAAGGTCTACTTTATATTCTCTTTAATTAATAACTAGCATAATTTTTTTTAAATAAAATGCCTATTTTATAAATTCTTTTTGTTCATAGTATGATTTAAAATTATATGACAGACAAATAAAATAACTTTCGTTTTTCATTTAATGCATATGTAATAGGTCTGATGTTTATCAAACGGTAATAGTTATTTTAATTACTTAATTTAAATAAAAATAGAACAGTTTATATGATAAATGTGAATAGATTCAATCTACATTGTTGTGTGAGTTTTATTCTCTAGTAAATTGTCATATAGTAGTCATGAGTTCCATATTTAATTTTAGATTGTTCGTTGCTAATAATTAGCAGTTCCTATGTTCTGGAAGATTCAGGTAAATAAGTCAATCAGTAATTTTGATTGATCCAAAGACATCAATTTTTATCAAAATTTATGAAAAATAGAAAATTTTGAGTTGACTTCAGGAAGACGAACTTCAAAAAGGATATTTGTCAATGGAAAACCTAATCTTCACCCTGAAATCAATAATCATAATACAATCATTAATTCGAGAAAAGAGAAATTTATTTGTTAATGTAATTTTTTGTGTTGGTTACATTTAAAAACCAATAATTCTTGCATGTTACATGCAATATCAATCTAATTATTGATTCAATGAGCATAATTATCTCACTTGCTGCTGCTTACAGGTAATTGTAGTTCATGTCAATCGACGTTAATTCTGATTTCACTTTACTTTTGTATCCTTTAAAAATTTTAAAGTAAAGTTTTTTTTCTGTTTGTTTTCTTATTTGCTGAATTTTTCATTTACAAACCATTCATTTTGATGACTATATTGAACGACTTTACACTTCCAAAAATTGTCAACAATTTCACTTTTTACTTCGTTTTTAGAAAACAATATGGCATTAGTTTATTTTTTAAAAGCATGTAAAACTTTTTCTTTATCCTAATAAGCTTCTCAGCATTGTCATGTGTACCCTTGAAATTTTTAAATACTAAGTGATAAATATAATTATGAGCGTAATGAAAATACATTTTAGGATGTGGTTTTGTGTGGATAAGCTGAATGGATTCTGCCATTGATGAATATTATTAGCAGTGCCTGATTATACAATTAAAATTTCTTCCACCCTAATGGCAAGGCTAGTCAAGGATGGTTTCAAAAATTTGGCAGCTCTCTTCTTACCCAACAATTTAAAATCTTTTCAGACCATCGAATCGAACATCTGCTTTTCAATCATTAACATAACCTATATTCTTACATACTCATTCTCTTTCATAACTCTAATCAAAAGCCTGTAAGGCAGTAACCTGCAGTAAGAATATTTGTTACAACCACGTACAGTCAGATCATTTCGCAATACCACAGATAGAACCGTTACGCGATGAGTCAAGAATTTTAATTTCTATTAGCTTTTATGTCGTACTCATATGCATTGTGACCGATTGGCATAATAATTGAGTTTTACAGTATATAAATGAATATTTAAAAGTTGGAACTGTTTTACTTTTTTTCTGACACAACATTAAACAAAACTTTACTTCGGTGCTGGCTGTTAACTTGATGTGCATACAATAATAAAAACTTCTAGTCTGTACAAGTAAGCGGACTGTTGATGTGCCATCATCTAGTATATAGTATATGGTATTTTTGCAACGTTATATCATTCGGTTACTAGAGTTCTTAACGTGAAGTATTTAGAAATAATAATTAAATTGAAATAGGTGGAAAAATATTTTGTGGTGATTTTAAGGACATTATTATTATTTTATTTTAGACTTTTGAATAAAATAGTCTGAATTGAATGGTTAAGTGACAGTAAAATGAGATATTTATAAAAAGATTGTTATATTTTAAGACTCTGTGGGCAATTTAATATTTATTAATTGAAACATTTATTGATTAATTATTAGAAAATGATTGTGTTAAAATTTATGATAAGTAGTTTTGTGTTCTATTGTGGTGTCTTTATTTGTGAGTATTGACTTTTTATTATAGTTTCTTAATCAATCAATAAATGGGTTAGAAAAATTAGTAAAATAGTGAAATTACTCTGAATCATTATATATATACGGATGTAAACCTTTTTAATTGGCGGCACAGGATTGAATCAATTTTGTCTTAAAATTTCATTGTGTAAAAAGTGAACAACTTTAGAAAACAGCTTAGCGCTAAAGAACAGCACCTATAGTTCATATTTAGAGATTAAAAACTATCTTGGCTTTAAATCACGTTCACCAAAAAGTTGAAAAACATTTTTTTTATGAACTTTGGATAAACAACTTTGCTACTATAAATCAGACCACAACCACATAACGATAGAAGAGACTAATCATTGACAGTGAAAAATTGAACATATGCTTATTTTAATTTAGTATTGAAGGTTGTATCTTAATATAAATTAAATAATTAAGATAAGTAACTGTTACTATGCAATTGATAGACTCTTTGAGTTAATATTAAAAATCTAGAGCAGCATTGAAGAATTTTAAACCTTAAAATTAATAAATTTATAAACACAAAATCATGTTTGACTTTCTCTCTTAGATTCAAATGCACAGAACATAATCAATCAAGCGTTATATTTAGGAAATCCATCGGTATTTAACACAACACGTGACGATTGCGTTTGGAAGTTTGGCAATGAAAGAGATATCTGCCCTGATCCTGACATCAAGCTTATTATGTACACAAGTTTTAATGGGAAAAATCATGCGAAAGTGCTTGTAAGTAATTAATTCCATTCGATGAACTTGACTTTGGTCTATGTTTTTGGCTTCAATGCTGCTGAATTACTTTTCTTTAACATGCTATTCAGCATAATTGAGTTTTCCATTTTTATTGATACTTTTTGATGTTATATAAAAGAGTTGTCACTATATATTTACGGATATTAACGACATTCATTCACACAACATTAAAGTACACAGCATTGTCTTAGGACTAAGGATGTAAATGCTTTCAATAATTTTGATTATGTGCAAAGTTAATTATTTTCTTATATATTATTAGTTCAACATGGCTTCATTAAATTTACCGATTTTTATTTGTTTTACTTGTTCCAAGAAGATTTATGATTGTTACTGCTCATGGATGAATGAATATTGTGGGAACAAAAAGTCCCAATTAAATTTTAGACAAATATTTCTCATAAACTTCTGGCTTTGAATTGTTGCAAATTTTTGATGTAATTGAGTTTGGTTTTGTGCTATAATACTCTTCATACTTTATTGTCTAAAGATTTAGGATTTCAATCTTCTATTCTTGTATATCCAACCACAATCTTCTAATAATAGAAAATTATAATTCACAAACTGGTGCAAATTTTCTGTTCTTATCACTAATTAATCCATTCAAACATATGTTCAGTAATCGAAGGTCAAAATTAGAGTCAATGATCTTGTGCTTATTAACCAATTAATATAATATGCTCAGAAACATATACGGCCTGTTTCACTAAAGTGGATTATCCTCGATTTCGGATTATCCACTTCAGTTTTTTGAAAATATCTCCAGACGCTTAAGGTTATTAAGAGATCTAATGTCTGATCTAGTTAGAGTACTTTGCTACTTAAATTAACATAAACTTAGAATTTTTATATCTTCATTAGTTTAAGAATTATAGCAAAAATCGAAATTAATCAACTAGATTTGGCTAGAAAATTGAATAATTAATACTTCTTAACGAAAAGCAAAACTTTAAAGTACACAGAAATTTCAGGCATACTTCACTCTATTAAAATCCAAAATTATAAATACCACACCTCCCATAAAGTGTAAGATATTTACAAAAAACTGAAGTGGATAATCCGAAATCGAGGATAATCCACTTTAGTGAAACAGGCCGATAATTATCGATGCGGAACATAATTTAATACGATAAGTTTTCAAGCATTAAGTATTAGATATATATTCGGTCATGCACTTGATACTTTGTACATGAAAGCATGTTTTACATAAAGTGTGACACAGATTATTAATGATGGATATTTAAAGGAGACTATATGGACTTGTGTCAACAGCTTGTTACCATTAAGATTGCACCAAGCCGATCATTGATGAGGCAATAAATATCACTATCTACTGCCTTAATGCCATATTTTATCTAAAATTGACAAGTTTCCAAGCAAAGTCAGGCTTTTATTATCGCATAAATGTCCGGCAATTACTTTGCAAAAAATAAAATATAAATGTTTGGAAAATCCCATTTAAAAGCCATTCTTTTTTGACTTGAAGCCTTAAATGCTAATTTCTTCTTTGTCATCATTTCCTTCTGTGTTTTAGTTTGACATGAATGAAGACTATTGGCTTCGAATGAGCAGTTGGAATAATACAAAGGAAAACATAATTCTTATTCATGGCTATGCCAGTGGCGATGACGTATTGCCAATGAGTGTTTTGCGTGATGCCTACCTTAACAACGGCAACTATAATGTTTTTGTAATTGATTGGTCAGCACTTAGTCAGCCGCCTTGCTAGTAAGTCACTTTTTTATATTCCTTAATCCTCATTTTTTTCATTTTTCATTGAATTTTTTACATTTTTTCGTCATGAAATATTAATTGTAGCATTGCAGCTGTACATAATATCAAAACTGTTGCTCATTGTGTGGCTAAAGGTTTCACAAGCTTACGTAATCAAGGAATCAGTCCTGAAAAAACCACATGTGTTGGACATTCGTTAGGTTTGAATTAAAAATTTAAATTGACTATTTTAAAATTCTATTAAAAATCAATTTTTTACATTTTCTTTACACATGCATCTCCATGTAGGCAGTCATATATGTGGACTTATGGCAAATTACTTGAATTTCCGACTTGAAAGAATCATTGCACTAGATCCTGCACGTAAGCATATATTTTTTATTTTATTACCTAACACTTATTGTGTAAGAATTGTAATTTATTTTATGCTCTACTTTAGGACCACTCATTAGACCAGGCAATCAAAATCGATTAGATACTGGTGATGCTCGATCTGTTCAAGTAATTCATACAAATGCTGGCTATTATGGAGAAGGTGGTAGAGTAGGGCATATCGATTTTTGTGTCAACGGTGGGAGAAGGTAAGTCACAGTTAAAATAATTCAACAATATTTTCTGTGAGGAGTTTATAGTTCTTATTTAAAAGCTATTTTGACTCTTAAGATGTAACAAAAAAAAATACTTTTATTATATAGTCAAATCATTACATTTATAGGCAACCGTACTGCACAAGTACAACAAATTCCAACCTTTGCTCTCATATCTGGTCAATTTGTTATATGGCACAGTCAATATTCAGTAATGAGGAAATTATAGCCGAGCCATGTCTTCGCAAATGTCCTAGCGGAGTTAATTTAAATCCATCTTCACCGAATCGCATTGGCAAGAGCTTTCGTTATGGCTATGCTCTAAACTATGGAATTCCAATGGGACAACATACACCAAAAACGTGATTTACTTAAATTGATAAATTTGCTATGAGTATTGCATGTTTGTTTCTATTCCACAGTGCTACTGGTTCATATTGTGTTAAAGACACACGAGTACCATTCTGTCCATCAAAAGAAAATGATGTCGGGGACAAGAGATGTTGTCTTGATTCCCTCGAATGGGGTGATTTACTTCAATGAGCTGTACAGAAAATTGGACAATGAATAATAAGTCACAGTGGATGGATTTCTGTCCACAGAATGAATGAGTGAGTGAACAAAGAATATTTTACATACATTAAGTAAAATTAAAGAACAAAGTTGAGAAAGACAATATGAAAATTTAGTAAATTAAGTTTCAATGATAATGAAGAAACAAAAGTATTGGAAAGTAATATTCATTACATTGTGAGCATCAATTCGTGCTTTTTATAGCATTATTGAAATAAAAGTAATAAATTATTTCAATACGAAGTGCTATTTATCATTAATGTTCAGGAAATGTCAAATTTTATTTGGACAGTATCATCATTGATCACAATCATCTATGAATTAAGTTTTTTGTACAGTATTTCTTTTGGCTTGACTGACTATATTATATTCCTAGTTGTTGAATAAAGTTGTTTAAAGAGATTATTAAATCCTAGATTTTGTAGTTTTTAAAACGATTGTTTATTAAGAATGAATCTCCTGGATCAAAAAAAAAAATCTGACATCAAAACCCTTGTATTAAAGCTTCGGACTTAATATCCTATTGCTGTACATTGCAAGTGAACATCCTGATATAATAATTTTTATTAAGCTGTAGCTACTAAATTTAGCAAAATATCCTTTAAAGTCCACCAGTAATTATTTCAAAGGAACTAAGGAAAGTCCTTTAAATATGTTTTTGTATAAAAATAAATTATGTAAGCAAGGTATGCACAAAATATGCATCGTCACCTATGTTAACATAATATCCTTGAGTAAAACAAAGCAAACCAGCTGCAAAATGTTCTTCGGTTCCACGAACAGTTTTTACTTCCTTTCTTTCATTTTTGCACTCATTTTCATATATATTTCAAAGAAGGTTGGTTGGAAGTAAAAAAAGAGTTTAACGTTTGTTTCACATTATGACTAGTATTTGTCCACTACTATAAAAACGGAAGTACTTTAAAATGTACATAGAATAATTCTTTAATTTGTTGTTTAAAATTTAAATGGATTTTTGCTTTTAACCTACCCGAGCGGCACAAGGTGGAGGGTGGTCTCCATATGGAATCCATATGAAAGCCACCTCCACTATGTGGGAAGTAAATGGAGGGTTATTTTTTCATCCTTCATATTGATTCCATTTGGATTCCATATGAACTCCGCTTTTTCTTAAATCAAATACCGAAAAACTCGTGCTTTTGAATTTTTAAAAGACAGAGGTCAGATCTTACTGTAATGGATTGAAATATTGTCGAAAAGCTTTACTGAATCATATTGCTTCATTTCAAGCTTTAAAAAAGCAAAAAAGGATAATTTTTTGTGATTTTGTATGAAATTACATACTTCACAAGCGCATGCAGAAATCACTATTATATGGGGTCGTTTAATTTGTATGAAAATTTTTAATAATTTCTTATGTTTCTCACGCGTGTGATCGAGACTTAGAAATTGCTGTGGTTGCGACTTAATTAAATTAAGTTGTAAATTTTTCAATAGTGTTAGTGTACTTTAATTAAGTCCACTAATACAGCTACAAATCTTGATATAAAAATTGCGAAACATAGAAAAACACGTGGAAAATCGTACCAAAAATCCTTTGAAAAAAACTTCCATTAAACCTCCGTTTGACTACCACAAATGGATCCTCCATCCTCCATCAAAACCTCTCAAATGACTTCCATTTGGTGTTAATAAATGCACGTCCCACGGAGGATTTTCGGAGCTTTGGCTCCGTCAAAGTTCCATGATAGTAAGGTTTTCGGAAGATTTTCAAATGGAGGGTGGAACATGGAGGCTCCGTATAGCTTCCATATGGAAGGCAAATGGAGCCTTTGTGCCGCTCGAGCTAGATATGCTAAGAAAGTACTACAGTTAAAGAAGTGAGTGGATGAATCATTTTTTAGGTGTTGCATATTTAATCTTTTTTGGCTATAAATTCAAAATATTAGAAAATTATTAAAATTTTTACTTTAAACTTGAAAGTTATTAATAAAATTTTTGTTGTTCTTCAAAACTTTTTAATTAGTATTTGAAAAATCTCAACTTTTGATCTCATGAATTTTTCATCTCAACAAAATGAACAATAACAACATTAAAGACAGTATTTGGGCGATTCTCCAGCGGGGAAATCAGCCAAAAATCACTTTCAAATTGATTATTCTTTAAATTTTCCCAGTAAAGCATGTTTGTTCTCAGTTAAAACAGATGTATTTTTCCTAATTCTATCTCTTAAAGTCATTCAGAAATCATAATTAAGCTTAAATCATTAGTTTTTTCAATTTTTTTAAGCGTTGCTCGGCAACCAAAAATGGAATTCAATTACGAAGAATCAAAAAATTACTATCAAAGAATTATTTTTATTGCACTTAATACATGCTAAATGGTAGATCGTCTTTAGTTTTATCATATTTAAATAACACATCTTTGATTTAATGCTCTAATTAAGAGAAAAATCGATTCTTCGAACAAAATTTAATGTTGCCGAGCAACGCAAACGCTTTATAGGGGAAAATCTGCTCAAAGAAAAATTTAAAATTTGATAAAAACCGTTAGATCTTAAAACTTTCAGTAGTTTATTTGGCACAAAAATGATAATGATCTAAACTATATCTTATAATAATCATTAAAATAAATATAAATTAAATTTTCAACCTACAATTGACCATAAAACCGGAAAAAATCGTTTGAAATAGATATTTTTTAACGGTTTTCTCAAATTTGAAATGTCAAGTAAAAGAAGAATTACAATTCACTTTTGAAAAATTCAATTCTTCTGGAGAATCGCCCATTTACGTTTATTTGTATATACAAGAGCTTCTCCCCTCATTTATATTTATTTCTTGCAGGTCAATTAATTAACAGAACATTTTCTTTTTGTCAACCTTTTCATCGCATGCAAAAATGCGCCAAAAATAATTTTTGTTCATCATGAAAAAAAAGGACAAAGAAAAAAGTATTCATTAAATTCACCGAGAACATTTCAGCAATTATAAATTTGCAAACACTGCGGTGTAAATATTCTGTGAAGGTAGCAGCGTTGTTTTCAATAAATTCAGATGATGGCTTTTTGTTTATATATTATACATTTTTTTATGATATTGAGGCATGTTAGAATGAGGGTTCTGTATAGAATAATAATGTTATGACAGGCACAAATCATTAATGTAATCGTAAGAATTTTATGTTTTTTTGATAAATAATTCAATGATTTTGTCACTGCATTATTGTCGGGAGTGTTTAAAAAGTTGATTATTTTTTGCAGCTAGTTAACAAATTTTGAAGGTGATTTTTTAAGGTTTTTAGTTCATTTTAAATTTAATTGGATATTTTCAAGTTGATAAGTGTATAATTTATTGTCTTGTTACTAAAGGCATGGAAAACATTGGCGTTGCTAAAGACATAGGGTGGAATTCCTTTGTACAAATATCGTAAAGTTCCTAAAATGATGGACGTCATAAATTAATTACAACTGGAACACTAAAAACACGATGACCAGTATCAATCCAAGAAAACATCATCAAAAAAATTGATAAACCAGTCGATTATCTAGAATCAAAACGTAAAGACGTGCTCGTAATCTGTAAAAATTCTTTGTAACGAAACAACCGGTTTTTAGATAAACCCTTAAATTTAAAGGTCGTGCCAGTCTTATCAACGTGTTTTTGGTGAAGAAAAGGCTTAAATTTCTTACAAGGCGTCACTTTGATGTCAGTTAACGTTTAAAAATTTGTGCCTAGTTCGGTTCTTGAGCCATACTTTAAAAAACTGTACCTTTGTTGTCAGATAAATATTTCAGTTACACCTTAACTTAGCCCTCAGCAAACAAAAGATAATTCCTGAATAAAATATTAAATACAAAATGAATTGTAAATTGATTGATAATACTCAGCAGTTTCATTGTCAACTTTAGTCTAGAAATTCAATTGGCATTGGTTCGACTTGTCATGCTGCATTAAAGCTAAAATGCATGTTAAACATTTCTTATCTGTAAGCTCCAAATAATTATTTTTGATAAAAATTAATTTACTTGTAATTTATTTTATTTTAATTAAATTAAATAATTTCACATGTTTACTGATTACCAAGGCTAGTGAAGATCAACGCAAGCAGCACTGTCGACATTTGTAGAATCACCCATAAACATGTATAAAAACATACGTAAAACTGTGCCAGTTCATATTAGTCGAAGTTAAGCTTGCATATTCGCGTAAATATTTATTGGCGGATTGAATTTTTATTTTTCTATTACAATTCAAGACATACAGCAGTGTGCAAGTAGATTTTCGACGCACATGCAATATTAAGTATCTGTTTGACTTTTTATTTTATATCAAAAGCTGTTGTGAGTCAAAAGAAAAAAGAGAGTGAAAGAGAAATTTTTAAAGTTAATCTATGAGCAAAAAATAAGGTGAACAGACATAGATTCACGTGCTTTTTTGTGTTTTATCTGTGGTGAAAAAAGTCGACGACCATGTTCGAGAGGAGCTTTGGAAAACTTTTCCTATTTATTGCATTTTTCAAAATTCATGGAAGTTTTGAGCGCGAAATTGAACTTGGACCTTGCTATTTGTCCATACTTTCGCCATGTGCTAACAATTCGATTCAATTTCATCTTTACTACATAAATTCGTCCGATAATAGCCCACAACATGATATACTTGATAATATCGCGCCAATTCTTCCATTCGACAAAAATGAGATATCAAGTAGGAAGTTCAAATTAGTAGTTCATGGCTATGGTGGGCATACCGATGTCAGTGGATTCAAACTCATTCGCGATGGTAAAAATAACTTTTTAAAATACTTTTAAGTCATTAATAAACCTTCGGTAATAAAACTCTTTATTTTTTGTGAGACTCGATAGAAGTTTGATATTCATGCACAAAAACCTGCATTTTATGTTGCGAAATCTAACACGCTGAAATGACTATATTAGATTACTGCTCTATTGAGATTGTGAGTTAAAAATATTTGCAGTTTTTTACTAATTCAGAGTTGATTTATGTATTTGGTTTTCAATTTATTAATGATTCATGGTGCACTTGACTCTAGTAAAAAAGTATTTACAGTTTTTAAAGGTTTGCTGTCTTTTAGTCTTAAAATGGAATATCTCAAATTGACATTAATGCCAAAAGTTAACTTCGTGACAGCAAAATAAATTAAAGCTGTCAATAATCAGAGATGTGAACGGAGTAATGCACAAATTTCAATTTAAACATGATTATATTTTATATTCAGACCTAATCGATTTTTTTTGTTTTTAATAATGAAGTCTTTACCAATTTGACCAACTCTGTCTTTAAAAATAACTCAAGTGCAAACGATGAGCAATTTTTAAGCCATAAACAAGCTCAAATGCATCTCAACAAAACTTTTATGCCTTTTAGAATAATAACCATAAAATCTTTCTAAATTAACTTTTCAATTTTAACGTTTTCGCCAAAGCAATTTTATTTGGTTTAAAAAATTCAACGATCTTTCTGACATTTCGTAATTTTAAATTATGGTAGTGAACTTGATGCGAATGTGTCTATGTATAAGCCGGTTTCCAATATACAATCATTTTTTTCCTCAATATATTCATTCACGGGTGCATATACTGTACCAATTGATATTTATCCATAATTTTATTAAGAATTAGTCAAGACACAGCTAAATTCACCGCTGTGCTATGAGAAAATTGTAATTTTTTTTCATTCTCTAATTAACATTAATTCCGCTATAATAAAAAAAAAGTCGTAAACTTTTTCAAAATAATGAACATAAGGAAAACAAAGACATACAAAACTGATGCGATCGAAATTATTTCAATTTTATTATCAACACAAAAAACAAAAAAAAATCTCGCTCATGGAATTTCGCCATTAATATTCAAGTGGCTTTCCTTACAGATTAATTTCCTTCTTTTTTGATTGCAAACTTTAAGTCAAAACAAATACAAAGAAAAGTTATATTTTTCGTGATAAATTTTTTTAAATTCTCTTAGCAATTTAAAAAGCATTAAGGCAAAATGTAATCTGATAAATTTTAATTTATTAAAATTGACCTTTCGAGTTTTGCAAAATTATAATGGAAATTACTAGTGGAAATGTGAGTGACTTATATGATTTTAGCACAAACGTTGCTAATTTGTAAAGAAATTTGTTTCATCAAGGAAAAAGCTAGTGTTAGATTAGAGGTGAATTAATGAAAGTTGAAATAATTTGTTGTATTTTTATCGACCGAAACAATCTTGTGATGGGAATATGAAAAGTGAATTTGTCACGTTATTCTTGGTTTTTAGAAAAGGTCAAAGGTTACGAAAGTTAAGTATGTTTGGGGATAACACAACTTTAACCCTAAACCCTTTGTTAATAAAATGGTTATAATCTTCAACTTTATATCTAATTGAGCATTATGAAATAAACATCAAATTAGCTTCACAGCCGTAAAGGAAAACCAACAAATCACCTTCAATTTAAATTGTGTTCCTGTCCATAATTTTCCTGTCATGAAACACTTCCTACAACTAATCAAAAATCAAAAAAATAATCCATCATAAATTTGTTGAGTGTCAAATCAAGGACACGTTCCTTAATTGAATCAGCTAATCATCAAGATCACATCAAACTTTGTCCATAAATCCACAACCTGCACCGATAAAAAAAGAAACTTAATTACCATAAATTTTATTTTTCTTTTCATAAACTAATTTTCAGCATATCTAAAGCATAATGACACAGTAGTAATGGTTGTTGATTGGAGTCGATTGGCCAAACTTCCATGTACGTATTTATTTCCTTGAAATTGTCCATAGTTCTAAGTTGGATAGATAACAAAAAAAGATATTTAGTTCCAACATACACTAATAAATTTTATCGATTTTTCTTTACTTTATTCCAACACTACTCGCCTCGCTCTTTTCCATGCCATTTTCGCTTCCTGAACCCATAATATATACATGTATGTGCTTAATAAAAACACAGGCTATCCATCAGCAGCAATAAATACAAAACAAGCCGGTGAATGTGCGGCACAATTTCTTATGGGTATGCAGGAGAATAATGATGGCTTCAAAGCTACAAATGTCCATGCAATTGGATTTTCACTTGGAGCTCATGTAGCATCTTTTGCAAGTAAGTGATTTTTACCTTAAATGCTAAATGCTCTTTAAATTTCTTTTATTATATTAATTAACATAATGCTTTTATAACGGTTTAGGTAATGCAATTGAAAAAGCTTTTGGTTCAAAATTTCATCGTATAAGTGGATTGGGTAAATTTTAATTTCAAATTTTTGAGTTTTTCCTTTTTTGGGGATTTTTATAAATGACGTTAGTAACTGTAAAATTATTTTCAATATATCAATGACAATGACAATCATTTATGAACAACCCCCTTAAATGCTTTCTTAACCTAAATTGTTGGATATTCTTTTAAATTTCTAGATCCCGCACTTCCTGTAAGTTTTATACAGCTTGTGTTTAAAAATCGTTTTCTTTTTCTAAATACTACCTTTTATTTGCATAATAAATGCAATTTAATAGTTTTTTGCTACTGCACGGCAACATTGGAAACTCGACTCTACAGACGGGTAAGTGAAGTTCTGATTTGGAATAATTTTTTGTTTACCAAATATGTAGATTTATGAGAATGGATTGTCTTGAGCAATGTTTGGTGGAATAGAGTTTTTAAAATTAATTCAGAAGTTACCCTGAAATATTAAATTCTAATTAAGATGTCTTTTGACTTGCTTGACTGTAAAAGTTATTAAGTATTATCATAATGCACTTCTATTTCCTAACTTTCGCTGACTATTGTCACTTCAATTGCATTCATTAATAATTGAAAAGCTATCATTTCGATAAAGCTAAGAGCATTTCAAACATTCCAGTTCAAAAAAAAAATATCTGAAGCATATTAAAACAGATGTCGTCATTAATTATGCAATTCTGGAAATCAAACCATAGAATTCAAACTCAATAACCTCTGCACTTCTATTCAGTAAACATTCTGAAAGCTTAAATTCCATTTGTAAACCAAACACATGCAAACAACAATTTTTTTTGTCAATGTCTTTTTAATGAGTTAATTCTTCAATTTTACATGATAGGGATTTCGTTGATGTAATACATACCAATGCGGGAGTATATGGAAAATTGGAATCATGCGGTCACGTTGATTTCTACATGAATAACGGACAATTTCAGGTTGGATGTTTTTAGCATTTTAATTTGAGTTTTGTGTTAAAATCATTTTAATTTTTAATTTACAGCCATCGTGCGCGAAAGCAAAAAGTAATGAATTTATACAGTTTTTTGAAATGTTCCATGTGTGAAAATGTGAAGGAAATTTCAGGTTTCAGGATAATTTTTAAATTATTTTTTCATTCACGACTTTTCATTCCAGATGAAAATTTATGCTCACACATGATGGCTTTAGGTAATTAAAATTTCTCTTTGTTATACAATTTTTCAATAATTGGATGGTTTATGGAAGTGATTGTAGAAAGAAGGCGTTGAGGAAAAAAGTGATTGTTATGAAAAATGCTGGATTTTGAGCTTTAAAATAGTTTGAAGTCTGAAAAATTTTGGGGGCATGCCATTGATTTAATTTGACAGCTTGCCTACCATTCAGTATCGCAATAGACTCTCATTATCTCAGGTTTTAAGTATCAATTGAGAGTGTTAATTAATCATAACTGACGTTAATTACCTTAATTAAAAAATTTGGAAAAATAATTTGACAGAAAAGATGCACAAATGCTACTGCATCATTATTCCAAAAATAATTATACTTCAACCCATTAACCTCCATCCATTCATTGCCATCAATTTTTAATTAATCCTTACTTTCACTCTTTTAAATCAGAATATTTCGCTGAGTCAATAAACACAAATAAAGGTTTCTTCGGATACAAATGCGATAGCTACTTCCAGTACGTATTCGGATGGTGTAACTTGAAGGAGAAAATTCGAAATAACTTCGCAATCGATCGGATCAGGATGGGTGAATTCTGTGAAAAAAAGTAAGCTCATTCAATTGAATATTGATAAAATATTGAACAAACATACATTTTGAGTTAATATTATATTCATGAGATTAAGTTTATTAAAGTTTTTAAAAATCATATTCACATCGTGTGCTCAAGAAAAATCATGTTGAGGCTTTAAAATTCGAAAAAAGATTTTCTTTAAGCTTTAGGAAGATTTTTTCACGCTTCATCAATTTAATTAAAATCACATGAAGCGTTAAGTAATATGTGAGGATGTAGAGCTTGCATAAATTGGATTTATTCCAATCAGTCATGAAAAACTCTTGCTTTTAAGATATTTCAAACCATAAAATCCTTTACTTTATTGAAATTTCTGGAGATTAATTTCCTTCTTCGTTTTTAGTACCATAATTTTGGATGATTTTGGTGTCATGTTCTGGAATTGAGTTAAAAATAAGGATTTATTAGTTTGGAAAAAATTGGAAATTTTATGGTTGAAATTTGAAAAATTTCCAAACTTATAGTGGAAAATTTGTAGCCATTTGATTGAAATTTTTAATTTCCACCTTAATATCTGGCTTATTACCAACTTTAGGTATCCTGTAACTTACATTTTAAATAAACATCCCAAAAAATCTAAAACTTCAAAAACTCTTTATTTAGTGACGTAAATCCAAATTTAATAATATCAATGAACTAAATCCCCTGCATATCCTCCAATTCAAGATACAAAAATACAAACAACCACATTTTGCTCATTCTTGCATTTTTAGCATAACTCCTTATTGATTTTTTCTTCTCTTCTTTCTTTCTTATTATTCCACAGAGTTGAAGGTATTGTGTTTGTTAATACACATAAAAAAGCTCCATATGCTATGGGATGATGAAAGTATAAAATGATACAAGATTTATGTGAAAAAAGTTCAAATATTTGGCGAACATTAAGACGATAAAAATTGATTTGAAATATTGTATTGAACCTTAAGCTTTATCATAAAAAATGTAGAATATAAGTATGAGAGTCATTTTTAAAAATGTTATGTTAACTAAGCGCATATTTGTGAATAATTATGAATAAAACATTTTTAGTGTTTTAAAATGATTTTAAGTTTTTAAAATTAATATCTCTTTAGATGTGGTCTTTAATTTGGTGTTCTCAACCATCTGACAATACCTGCATTTTATAGTGCAATCTAAACTTGGGGTTGTTCTTTTCAAATCAACCGAAATTTCCGAATATAAAATTAAAGAACTTAAAAAAGCAGTCGAAATGCTAAAAGTTCCAACTGTTGCTCATATTTTTCATCTGCGACTTCATTTAAAATATGTAAAACAAATACATTGATTGTTGAAACGGTTGAAACATAAAAAGTTTTTGTAAATTCAATTAAAATTATGCTGCCTGTGAGCCATTGTTTTGTGTATGTTTAAAAGTTATTTATTTACATTATTTAAAATCATTAGCATATTATTAATTTTCTATAAGCTTTTTTTATTGTAAAAAAATGAAGCATAACAAAAATTGATAAGTGGCAATTTTTATTCAATTAATTACAATGTAATAAATTATTTATTTTCTATTATATTACGAATATAAATATTTATGTTAATTTTGTAAAAAGTCTCAATTTTATATGAATAAATTTCATATTTTATTTATTTTTAGCTTTGCTTTGAAATTTTAATTTTTCCGCATTAAAATTTTGTCATCTTCATGGCATGTCGTTCTCCTTCTTGTCAACATTAATAATTCATTACTCCCTTATTTCGTATTTCAATTTTGTGAAGATCTTGAAATCTCGTCTTGTAATTCATAATTTCTATTAAAGTATTTTGTCTTGATATTCCCGAAATGTGGCAAAATTAATTTTTCTTGGTAATGGAAGTAAGGACTTGTGGAGGAAGCTTTACGTCGGGGTTAAAAGTTTTTTAGTATTATTGTTTTCAACTTTATAACTTTTTGATTTTACAAATTAAATTCATGAATTTTTGCATAATTGATTCCTAATTCAAGCCTTTTTGAAATTTGCCATAAAGTTTTTTTTGGTATGCATGACAATCTTTACAAACCGGAGATATATTCCGTCAAGTCTTTTTTAATGTTAAATGTCATTATTCTAATAATGTCATTCATTCTCGTGTTTCAGTAAATTAAATAAGCATGAAATTTTGTTTTTGAATGGAATATTCTCGGAATTGACGTAAATGATTCAAGATTTCTCAGGAAGTTTCATGATGCTCTGCAAAAAATTAAACTATTTTGACTCTTTAGATAAATGAACCTTCAATAATTTCTTGTTGTCTTCTTGATCTAATGGAATATTATTTTAGGCACCCATTAAAATATCACATCGTTCACTAAAAGTAATTTCTTAAAATTCTATCCTTTTAAGGTCAATCAATAAGTTTAATTGAAAATTTAAAAAATTTATTTCTGAGACTTTATATCGATTTTCTAAATTAAATTTTCTTCCCTCATAAATCTGACGAAAGAGTTTTCGAGTAAAATTTATTGTGACACAAGTAATGAGTAAACAAACATGAAGCGACAAAAAAAAATCGATAATTCTGGCCCTAAACATTCACTGAAATTCCCTAAAAAGTAATTTCATTTAAGTAATTATTATTCTTCTATTTTCAAAACACAATCATACTTCTGCTTTCTATTTTTACCTCTGAATCCTATTTTGTCAACACGACGAATGGTTATGAACATGCACATGGTATTTGGAATGATAGACAAATTAAAAAAATATATATGAAATGCGAACATATGTGAATGTAATTATGAATAAAAGTGAAGCGATGTTTCGGCTCTCTTTTATTAAGCAGTAATTAGTAAGCACACAAAAAACGTTTTATTTTTAGAATGAATGAAAAATGTTCGTAAAATTCATTTTTTATTCAAATTCTTCAGAAGAACGAAATTTTTATAGTGAGCTTTACTATTCATTTAAGTCTTTGAAAAAGGAGGATATACATAATAAAATTTCAATGGCTTACCGGAAGTGCGGGAATTTTTTTTGATGACTTTGAACATTTTTTGCTCGTTTCAAATGAAATACTCATTTGAATTCGTATGAATTTTTGTCCTTAGGATTGCAAAGTCACTGCTCAGTCTTCGAGCTTCTTAAAACCAGCAAACATGTTGCACAATTACTGAGTTTCACCAAACTATTCAACTTTAACTTTACGAAACCCTGCAAAAAACTTAAATATTTTTAAGCACAATGAAACTCATCACATCAATTCTACACAACAAAATTGTATTCAAGAGTCTGCGGGACCCATTAAACAGAAGACATAAAACATAAAGAAGAAAGAAGAAAAAAAACTCTTTAGAAAAGAAAAATGTAAGTTTAATGTAAAATATTGCAAACAATTTTCAAACTGCATTCAACTTTAAAATGAATAATATAAAAAGTATCCAGCAACTAGGTTCTCATTCAGTAGCATAGAGAATGAAAAAGAGCTCATAAATCTTATGACTCAAGATTTACAATATTTCTTTTATCATCATCATGTAATGTGATGCAGTTTTATGCTTATGCTTATGCATATAAAAATCTGATGCCATTAAAAATAGCAAAAGATGTAAAAAAATCTTGAAATATGTCAAATGCAGAAGAACATAGTACAAAGCAGTAAATACACAATGACAAATTTTCTAGGAAATAAAAACAGCAATGTCGATCATTTTATGTCGGATTAAACATTAAAAAGGGATTAAAATTGGTAGAGAAAAAATTTAAAATGCTGACAAAAAAGTCAAACAATGAAAAATGCATGCATAAAAAGTAAGCAAATTGATTTGGTATATAGTTTTGCTCTTACTTACAGTCTACAAACAAAAAATTGTTGAATCAGCTTTCAATCGACTCGTTGAATCTGAATTTAAAAGCCTTAACGAGATAAAGAGCTTTACATTTATGATTTTCTGGAAAAAAAATTAAAGTGTGGCCTGGGAGGGTGAAGCAAGGATTATTCAGTGTTTGGCGCTTTGAGAATCAGGATTTGCCACTTTTCCTCAGTTTTACTTTTTCTTTTAGAAAAGTTCTAATCAATTAAAATCAACATTTGTAAATCAGTCACCAGAACATGCATGAAAAGTCAGTTTCGTAAGTTATAGAAATTTTTTATTTTATTTTTAACTAAACTATTTTCACGTTTTTCATCATTTACAAATTATGTTCATTTAGATTTAGTATTACATTAAAACGTGAATGCAAAAAGAGATTCAGAGTTTACAAATATTTTTTCATCTCTACTGAAAAAATACATAACAAGAAAATAAAGGGAAAATCTAAAATTGAAACTAGTTTTTTTATCTTTATCTTTTTTTAATTTAAAAAAATTTTCTTATTTTTTTATCGGGAAATTTGTTTATCTTATTGCACATTA